TTTTTAAATAAAATACTTATAAGTAATTTGAAGTTACACTGAATTCTGTTTGAGTGCCAGTTGGTATTCTTTGATACGGGTGATTGAATTGTCTTCGGAAGTACGTCTACGCCTCGACGCTGAGCAAGCCTTGCGGGTTGAAAACAACTGATCTCAGACTGCTAAAAAAATTCAATTCGGTTGATTTCAGTTGTCATATTAAAATTCAAATAGGGCGAACGTAGATCACATAACTAGTTTAAGTCTACTAAAGCTACCGGTTTCAAATATAAGAGACCGGCCTTTGTTTACAACACCCGTCTCTGGGGAAATACTCGTCCCACTCTTGAAGCGCATCATGAAAATGATCGTAGGTGAGGGAAATATATAATTAGAAATTATTATTGTCGTCTTTTTTAATGTTAAGTAATGTTAGCACATATTGTACACAGCAAAATAAGATTTTAAAAGGAGGATAAAACAAGCCTGAAACACGTGTTAGGCGAAAATTGCGGCTTATCTTGCGTAACACTTCCGGTAAAATGCAATACTTCCGGAAAGATGGACGTTTTGGCAGATACCCCTAACAATCCGACGATATCAAAGGTTTCCATTTGCTGTATTTTAATCAATTCGACCAAACTGACATTTCCATGAAATTAATTAATTAATCTTGGTCGAATTGTTTGGCATATTACCGTATGACAGAAAAAGGAACAAGAACAGGATACACATTACATAATACTGTGTCACATTTTAAAAGACAGACACTTTGTCTAATACAAATGAACAATATTATATTTTATTCATTTATTCCATTCCTCTCATTTATAACTTCCATTTCCTTTTTTCCCCCAGCTTACCGTTTTGTCTGTGACTTCCTTCCACATTTCTCCAGCTTTCTTTGATACTTCAGTAATGGATATCCCAGGGTTTTCTCTCTTGATCTGCTCTCTATGCTCATTGAGCCACAGAAAATATGCAGATTGTGGACGTTTGGGAGCATTGGGATCTTTTTTCTCTTTTTTCCTCTTCTTTCTTGGTCCCTCACGCTATCATAAAACAGTGACATTCACATAGATTATTGTTCACAACAGGGTATTCAAGTTGATAGAATTTTCCAATTTTTTAATTTTAAAAATCACTTATCTTTAAAACAGAAGATAAAAGTCTTGTTAAAAATTGTCTTAACTTAGAGACCCACCACTGTTTTAGTTTTCATTTCTTTTTTCTCTTTCTTTTTTTTTTCTTTTTTCTCTTTCTTCTTGTCATCATCTCCATCACCCTCTTCATCTTCACTTGATGAAGATGTGAAATCTGTATCAAATCTGAAAATATGAAGTTTATTTTATTCACAAATGCTTCTGTTCAGTGATTTGTTACAAAATATGCACTATGTGTAAACTATATAAAGGGTGATGTAAGTCATTTTCTTACATAAGGTAAATAAAACTGAACAATTGGGAGAGATCGCCCCAAGTGAATGGTATCATAAAAGACAAGATAACAATAAAACGGACCCACACATTTGGCCAATTTTCTTTTTAGATTTTTGACAAGCAATTGTAGACTCTTATCTTTAAATATTGATTGGTCAAATAAATTCTATTCTTATCTTAAATAAAGTAAACATTAAAAAAAAAAGAATATTAAAACACACAATAACATATATACTTACTCTTCTGCCACTTCACTTCCACTTTCAGGGGCAACGTAATCATCATCTGGAAATAGAAATTTATCAAAATTGAAATATTAAAATCATAATCTTCCAAAGCACTCAAAGTCAAAATGCCAAATCTGGGTATCTGCATTTGTTAAAAGACAGAAGCTAATGACTTGACATACCATCCTCATCTTCATCATCATCCTGATCATCATCTTCCGCCCTTTCTTTTCCTTCTTGTTTCATTCTCTCCAAGTAGACATCATGTTCATCCTCATCCTCACTGTCCAGCAGTTCATCATACTTGTCATCAGTCTGAAAAAGTAAAGCACACACACCATGTATTCCCAGTTTTATTACTCATAGCCCATGTAATTGTGACTAGGCAAGAGCAAAATGCCCTATAACAGGGTTTGAAATTAGAGAAACTCCTGAATAATGGAATCACTATAACTTATTCTTCTTGTCAATTTATAACTAATTTTTTCTAGATAAACAAAATACCATAAGTATAGTACATACAAGACCACCTGCTCCCTTTTTCAACAGTATAGTAATATAGTGGACCTGGCATTGGTTTAATGTTAGCTTTTATAGAATGAAAGTACATAGGTAAATATAGAATATGTAAGTACAGGATACTATCCAAGTCTCACATTGAAAAGCATGTTTACACTTTAAATTTTATTGTATTGACATCAAATTCAGGAACATAACAAACAACCCACTTACCATCTTCTTGCTTCCTATGTTCTTCACACCCAGCCCTTTGGAGGTGACAAAGTCATAAAGCTTTCCATATTCATCTCTGCAAGAAGAAATTGAGCATTTCAGATTCAATGCGAGTAGTCTTCATAAAAAGACTTTTGTTCAAAATCCAACATTTTTTTGCTATTAATTTGTTAATATTTTAATCATTTAAATTCATGCTCAAAATCCTTGACAACAATTTATGTATAAACTATGCATAAAGGTAACTTGTCTCCTTGAAAGAACAGAGCCTGCTGAACCATCTTCCTATGACCATCTTCTTATTTTGCTATCATTATGCATTTATTTTTCATTTCAGTATAATTATAATATTTTAATACAGTTAAAAAAAATGTTACCACATTTCAGTAAAACTTACTTTTCAATATTTACAAATGTGTGGATTGTTCCCGACTTAGTCTCCACCTCAAAATCAAAGGACCTTGTGTTTGCAGCACTCCTAGCAAAGTTCACATTGGCCACTTCATCAAACCTGACATGTATGGGAGGCTTGTGGACAAACATAAAACCTCTCTCAAGAGGGTAGAGAAACCCAGTAGCAGCCTTATAGGAACAGCCCACGGCATGGGTTCCAGAGTGCCTGTAGAAAAGAAATGTGATGTTTAATACACAATGAATATCATGTCAATTTCTTATCCCTATAAAAGATCAGGATCTCTTTTTGGCAACATAATTTGTCCACTTTTGCATTAATAACATTTAAGATGAGAGCTACAGCTAACTGAAAGATTGTTTGAACTTTAAAGATTTACTAGAACTCGGTAAACCAGTCATATTATCTGATGAGCTATTACTTTGTGTGATATGTTTAATTGCTACATATTTCAAAGAAACTTACCCAATAAAGCTGCCAGGCACTGTAATCTTCCTATTCACACAAGCCTTCATAATGCGGCTAACTATTTCATACATTGGTCCAGACATCTCTTTTGTCAGTTTCCCTTCATACTTCTCCTGAATGTCTTCCCTTATTAAGTCAAATGTAATAATGTATAAACTGATTATGTCTGTCTGTCTATATCTATTTGATTATATTATATAAATTCATAAATATGTGTTACTTGAAAAATTAAGGAAGGGGTTCAAGATGTATCTCAACCCGCATGAATCAATCATTATGCAGAAATTAAATTCAAAGGTCATAATACACAAATTCACTGATAAGATAATATCAACTCACTCTGATAATCCTAGCTCTAAAGATGTCTCCTCGTCTTTGTTGAAAAGTAGAATTAGGAAGGGATATCTAGTCTGACCTTGTCGGATTGGTGGATCCAAACTCACCTGTCAAATTGAAAATTAAAGAAATACTTTAATATAAGCATATAATTATATATGTTCTAATATAAGTATCTATCACACATACATTAAACCAAAATATTCAATAGTTTCCACAACTGAATATTTTTGAATCTCAACTTCTTTTGAACATGTGATTTTTGTTACATTCATATCCTATCAAAACTAACTAAACAAACCTTACCGCAAAAAACATTTGTCTTCCATCTTTGTGTGGTAACAGAAACAGCCGCAGTACTGTATTATACGGAATCTTGTAATCAAATGTTTTACCATGGAGTTGTAGAAATGTAGGATAAATCTTGATATCATAACGACCCCTGCAAGAGAGAGACAATGAAAACATTAATTGTACAGCAAAAGAGTAGACGTAATAGTATACAATAAATATTCCTTTTGGTTTATATTATCTTATACTTTATGTACACTTTCAAACCACACTGATACTAGAGATTATCTCAACATTACCTTGGTGTAAGACATTGAATCTCTTCTACTGTAGCAATAGCAGTTCCAGTTGCCTGGATAATATCTGCCTTTTCCAGAACATTCTGATGAAATTCCTGAAAAACCAAGAAAATTATAATGGAAACGGTCACTTTTGGTAAAAACATTTGCAAAAAATATTGAATTTCATATTACTATCAGTTATATTAAAAGTTAACAATTGAAACTAAGAGTGTTAGGTGGCTAAAAACTTTGAAACAAGAAGTGCTTGAACAGTTCCTGGTATCAAGCTGTCAGCAGAGTAGTTTTTCATTATTGTAAACAGGGCATTGACATTGGGCTGTAGTAAATGCTCAAAAAGAGCACAACTAGTATGTCTCTAATACAACAACCTGCACTTAGGTGCTTATCTTTTAAAAATAAATACGGAAAACAACACTTACAGTCACAGGGTCCTTGTCTGGGTTGTCAGAACTGGATGGAATGTGAAATCTGACTTCCATTAGCGACACAGGTGCATCATCATTCTGATGGAACTCCAATGTCACCTCATTCTTTGATGTTGTTGCATGGGATACATTTGATAGTGGAATCTCAAATGCCAATTTGTCATGAACGCTAAAATGTAAGGAGTTCCCTAAAGAGAAAAAAAGCAAAGAAATAAATCATCTTGGTGTAAATCTTACTACATAGAGTTTCGACTCCATGAGATAACAGCCTCTGGAGCATTGATAAAAGACGGACCGGAGGAATAATTTGTTTTGAAAATGCATGCTGACAAAAACATGGCAAACATGCAGCAAAAGAACAGACTGAAGCCACTGCAATACCAGCACTCAAAACCTACCTACGAAGTCTGCAACACCATAATTCCAGCCCCTCACTGACAGGTCTACTTTTTCCAGATCTTTTTGATAATATTTACTTAGGAATGGTGCTAGCTTTTCAAAGTCCTGGAATATGAAATAAAAGAAATGTGTACAATATCCAATAATGATATGGATAATTCTTCACACAGACTTTCTACATCAAATAAATGGATTCATTTAAATCAACTAAATCTAACTGATAAAGACAGCACAATTCTTATCAACATCACATAACTAGGCACTCACAAAGTCAAACCAACAGATTCTTTCTACAATACAAAAACTTTTTCTAAGGTAAAAGCAAAATTTTTCCAAGTTTGGCACAGAAAGATACTAACAAATGAATATGAAAAAAAGGTCTATATTAGGGGAGTGACTCTTAAAATATTCACCACTGCACTGCTTGGCTAGTCGAACAGCAAGTGTACCACCCCCTTTTTCAAAATTACTTTAATCATGCATACCGACTCTTTGAAGCCATCAAATCTATGTATGGATCCATTTTCCAGTCTGAGTTTCAGGCAGTAACCTCTGGCTCTGCACAACCACTGGGCCTTGACTACTTCACTGGACGGAAACTGCTCAACACGACCAGTTTTGATATTCTTGAAAATGACCAAGTTGCTCTGTAGTTTTAAGCGTCCAGGGTTCTGGAAAGAGTTATCATATGGAACATAAAATAAATTAAATGTCAATGAATTGAGGTGGTGTTTATACAAGACTCTATTTCCAGCATTGTACCAAGTATGAGTCAGGGTCAAAATATGGACTCCTAAAATCAGTGAATTCCCTGGTCCTGGCTGAAGCACTGAGTTACATCAAAAGTCGCCATGCATTCTTAAACCAAATTAAAGTACATGAATTGAAACTGATTTGAGTAGCTACAACATTCATCCAAATGCATGTGTCATAAAAAAAAAAAGATCGCTTCTTAATTTTTAATTCAAACACTACAAACCCATGTTTTACTAAAAATGTTGGTCGGGATAAACGTGAACATGTAACGTTACACGAACAATGTGCATGCAGTTACAAGTATTACTAGGTATATCACAATCCGCTAGGGGCGCTACAGTCGTAACTGTCCAGTGGCAGTGAAGTGTAAAACTGAAGTCGGCCTGCTGACAGCTCGCCTATGGCACCCCTTTTTTAAATCTCTCTTTTAGCGCCGCGTAAAAAAACTAATACAAGCCATTAACTAAATAAGCTGTAAATCAAAGAGTAAAATCCGGTCACGTGATTTTCCCGTGTTGCAGTCTTTGAGAAGTTTCAGTTCAGGGTGTTTGAAGTTTTGCCTCGACAAAATGCTCAAAAATGTCAGGGAAGTACTGGTTTCAGTTTTTTAAAATTTATATCGAATAAAGTTTATGAAATTTGCAATATTATGTAAAAAAATCATGAAAATTAAACCATGCGAAGTATAGTTTATTTGATGCGCAATATTTATAGTGCTTGATCTGCACGGAAGCCATCCCAGCCATGTGCTTGTGCGGTCGCCAATTTGGGTTTGTTTCCAGGTCATTAGATTAACATACAGCCATAATTGCCCTAATTGGTCACAAGCAATTTGAGCTGCAGCTACAGCTGAGTGATCACCGCTGGTCAGTAGTGACAGGTTTTAAGCTGAAAAGTGTGGACACTTTTGGTGCATTTTTGCAGTTAAAAAACTTCAATATCTTTGTTGCTTGTAGGAATATTAAAAAAATTCCAAGTGATTTCTTCCGGTTTTTGCATTACCTTTCAGATGATATAAGTATTATAATTTTCTGATCAGTTTGAAAATTTTTCTGATATACCTAGTATTACTAGCAGTAGTGCAGCATTACACTAGGTTCTAGATTCCGGTATTGTCAGCTCGTCAGCTCGATCTTGATTTCATATATAACCCATATCAACAATACCTTACGTAAAAGCGACTCCACCACGAGGTATATTTAGCAAGCTAGCTTTTACGTTTCTCTGACACTCAGGGTATGCAGCATGCGACTCGAAATGATCCTTGCCGGCCTTCTCGTAAATTACGAACATAAGAACCACCTTGTAAACAACTTGACTTACCATAGCCCCCCGAACCTCCTGAAGAGCATCGGGATATTCCAGAACATCACTCATTTCCAGATATTCGACTATATACCGTACTTCTACGTTACTGCTTCGTGAAAAACATTCGCCTCTCAAAATGGCGGGAATAGGCTCATGCAAGAGGTGAAGTTAAAATTGGTCAAAATTGTTACAAATATCATTAATGGATTTTAATTATGATCCTTAAAATGTAATTGGTGCATTGTATCATCAACGCGAAAAACCTATTAGAATAATGATTGAATGGTTCATTCTTGTTTAAAAAATATTACAGTATTATGGTTGCGTCTTGGAAAAAAATATTCACCGATGTAGCAATTGAAAATGAGTTATTTATTTAGAGAGATTCTTTAGTCCAATTAAAAAAATATATATTTTATAGTTTAAAAGAACATTGAAAAGTGTAGGTTGTGAGTAGGCTATTAGATGCCAGATTTTCAGCTTCTCATCTGCATATTAAACTGACCCTAACTCTAAGAGGAGCTGCCGCGGGGCCACTGGATTGATTATCTACATGTACTAGCTGTAGTAGGCATACCAGTAGTAGCAGGAAATGTCGTCAAAGAGAATAAGTTAAGGACAGACTTTTAAATTGAATGTGCAAAGTCAGTAGAGGGCAGCAAGACAAAATAGGCCTATGCAAAACGAATAGAGCCCCCTTAATGCCATGAACTGGGAGGCCGTCGTGTGTAAGCGAATAGCTACAAGCCTTCCAGGTAGGCCTACAGTAGGCCTACTAGCCTACTCTGCTAAAATGACGTTTGTAGGCTACTTTCACTCTTTCCGACACGAAATAAACTTAAAGCTTAACGTACTTAGGCCTACTGTATTGGTATTGTAGAATAAGGGCTTAATAAGGCTTTCAACTTGTCCGAGATTTGGGGAAATATTATTATTATTATTTATTATATTTTTGTTATCCCTCACCCTTCTTGTTGCCCATTAATCCGATGATAGGAGACGTATATTATTACTGTCCGCTATTCGGTGAACATATTGAGACTGCAGAGCGTTTATACGCTGTTTACATAATCCAATCAATCTTTTATTACCATCACGATTTGAATCTGCTATATTCTATACTAGAGTCCAACTGAGTGATGGAATTAATTCTATACCGAAAGTCTCGTTGGGAACATAGAAAAATTATCATGAATTATTATATAAAATGTGGTAGGGCCTTCGTGTAAACGCATGTGTTCTTGTGGACATTATTGCAAACACCAACACCATATGATTGCACATTTCAAATTTTACGAATTCAGAATAAAGAAAAGGCATATCCTCCTCTGTTTGCTGCATTTACTTCCTACAAAACTGACTATATACAACAATTAAATAAATCTTCATAATTCGTACAAACTGTAGACAAAAAATTCTGCGTAGCTTGAACCGCATCATTCAGCGTGCCCTCATGGAAACTGGCGACCTAGTTAAACCTGGTGTATACGTGATCAAAACAAAAATAGCTCTATTGATATTGAAAGTCGCTGCACGTGATCTGATTTTCAGGCTCAGTCTAGACGACGCGGAGATCTAGAGCCGGCAACATGGACGCAGCGAAAGCAAGACCGTTAGACGCATCTTCGGTCGACAGTGGACAAAATCAGGAAAACGAAGAAATGTTATATAATCGACGCCCTACATCATCAAGCTCGTCATCTCGTGCCAGCTACCACCCAGAAGGACAAGGTATTGTTCGAGGCAACAGGCGGTTTAGATCAGTCACTGATCAGTGGTTGCTTGGTCTCTCTCTCTCTCTCTCTCATCACTATGCTCCAAACTTTATATCCAACATAGATTATTGATATTCGTTAAAACACATGCCGTATCAACGAGCTTTCTGTCTGTCTCAGAGGTCCACCTTAATTGCCACAGCTGCGGGGCGACCCTGGCCAAAACCCGTGCTGTCATTTCTGTGGATGAGCTCCAGGCTGAGGGCGTGGCCCTCGAATACGAGCAGGAACAGGGGAGGGATGTGGAAATATGTTTGACAGACGTTCACGTGTATTGTTTGCCCGTCAAAACCTTCTACGACCCAGACGAAAGTAAGTAATGTTTAGAAAACTTGTTCGTGCCCTGTAACCTACATCTCAAGTTAAGATACGTTTGTTAAGATACTTTATGGTATATTACCACTTCATAGGCTAAGCATTACTAGATGATGTTTGTAGTGGGGGTGATTTAGTGGGGAATTATGTAGACGTATTCGTGGACAGTAAAACTGATAGAGAACTAAACAAAAGGAAAACTAAAAATACACCTTGTCATCTCTTAAAACTTGCTTACCACTTTGGTGTAAACATGCCACATATTATAGAATAATCAGTCTAAGAGCTTATAAAACGACATTGTAACGTTCAAGGTCGTGGCAGCTTTTCGGGGGAAAAAACCAGACGTATTTTTCTACTTTCGTTTTGCATCTCTCTGTTTGCAAGAGTACCATTAACGTCAATATCACCACACTAAAACTGGTTTTGTTAAAGCTATCCCTATATAAGCGTAGCCTTGCTTTTATCTGGTATATATTTTTTTACTGACCCGCTTTTCTTTTTAGAGTGCAAGCGCGATATAGTGTGCGTAAAGGAAAACTGCAACGTATACAAGGAAAAAGAGGTAACGCTATAAATATAAGATCGGATAAATCAAGATAATCCACTTCCCCTCCCCCACCCCCACCCCCCCAAAAAAATCCATTTTTCCACTTGAAAATGGGGCTAGGATGACTTTGTCATTATCAATCAGAACCTGGATAAGCCATTTCACACCCCATACAACATTGGTCAAAAAGGTTGCCCCACCTTCAGTATCATTTGCTTTTATTTATAAAGATCACATCACAGCTGAAGATTGTTATAAATAGTGATTTTCATTCCAGATACCACAACTAACATAATTTATGATACAGGAAAAACAAACTAGCGGTGAAGAAATCAATATTTAATACCATTTATTCACATTTACTGTAATTACCTCCTGTAGGTGGCGCGGCCTGCCTTCAACAAGGGTAGCAATTCTGTTTTATGGGATATTGTCCCATTCTTCCTAAAGAGCTTGGGGGAGTTGGTCCAAATTATTAGGAGTTTGATTCTCCTTTGCATTGCATGCTTCAATTCATGTCACAGATGTTTAGTAAGGTTAATAACAGGGCTCAAAGGAGGTTGCTCCATCCTCTGAACATTGGGTTTCTGCAACAAATCACTCAGCAGACGAGAGTTGTGAGCAAGTGCATTTCCACGATGACGCCTGCAGTATCTCTGGGGTCACCTCTTGCAAACAAAGTGAGATCTTTGTTGGGAACGTTCTTTTCCGGAGAGAACAATGCTCTAAGCCATGGGCTTGGAATTATCTCCAAACGTTACACCTCAGGCGTTAAACATGACACCTCAGGTGATATTATCCTGCACAAACATCCAAAAAGCATTCTGCAACATGTCTACGGGCCCTAATTTGACCATCGAAGGCATACAAGTATGGTTGACCAAGTTCTGGTAGTTCTGGGGTCACTGAACCTAACATTCTCAACTAATACCTCATTCCATGTGCAAGAGGGGACATCTGGGGTGATCCAGGCTTCATCATGACAGCACACTTGCACACAGTTCTCATGTGGTGAGTGATTTGTTGCAGAAACCCAATGTTCTGAGGCTGGAGAAACCATCTTTGAATCCTGATAATAAACCTACTGAGCACCTGTGCCATGAATTGAAGTTTGCAATCCAGAGGAGAACCAAACCCCAAATAGTCCGGACCAATTCTGCCAAGCTTTTTAGGAAACATGGGGCAATATCCCACAAAACAGAATTGTTACCCTTGTTAAAGGCAGTGGCGCCGTCTACTAGAGATAATTACAGTGCGTGGTGCTACACACGCTAATAGACACGTGACCTTTAGCGAGCACACCCTAATGCTAAATGTGTGTAAATTTGGTGACATTTGGTGGTGTCATTTCAATTTAATGGGCATTTCTTTACCTCCGTGGAAATAACAGTGGAACATCGGATTTGGGGGGTACATGTTATAGGAAACATTCATATCGAGAAGAGCCGAGGTCTTATAAGGCCGCGACCTAAATATGGCGGACCTACATGAAAAGGAACCCGCTTAATCCTGTAATGGTCTCTCCACCTCTCACACGCCCTCACGCGCGTCATCCCTGCAGGGGCACACTAATTAAATCTCGGTTCAATTCAACCGGTCGAGGGACGTCGAGGGAGGTAATTACAGTAAATGTGGGGAGCCGTGTAAGAGGCGGAGAGACCATTAATGGATTTAGCGGTTTCCCTTTCATGTAGGTCCGCCATATTTAGGTCGCGGCCTTACAAGACCTGGGCTCTTCTCGATGTGAATGCTCCCATAATTGTGAATAAATGTTATTAATGTGGATATCTAACCCGCTAGTTTGTATTTTCATATTATAATCATATTAGTTATGGTATCTAGAATGTAAATCACCATTCATAGCAATTAATTCCTGTGATATGATCATTTATAAATAAAAGCACATGAAACTGGGGGTGGGACAACCTTTTTGACCAATTTTGTATGTTATCTTGGTCTATATTATTCAAGCAACTGATTTGGCTATAAAAAGAAACTAAAATCGTTTATGTATATTTTATTTGCCATTCTGTAGATCTAATTCGAATTACAATATATCGTGATGATGTAATTGTTGTCTGTGCGTCTATTCTAAATTACCATGATAATTAATGCACGTATCAGCGATAACAACTTTTACAGACGCGGACCAAACTGATGTGGTTCCAGCATTACGTCAGGTCGAAATGCTACTGCTGCAAATGCAAAACGCAAGTTGGGAGGTAAATATCTAAAACGGTGGAAAACTGTTCATCGAACATCTCAAATAAGATATTCTGTTAGACTTATTGTAATATGGAACAGTTCTAATACTTCCTGAAATTAAATTGGTGACAAGTAGAAATGAACGCTCTTTTTCCAACATTCTACAAGTAGATCGCTTGTACAAATGAAAACAATTGTAAGAGGAAACTTTGTGTAGACACAATTTATCTATTAACTCAAAATTATGAAATAGATAAAGATTTAAATGATGAATAGGGATTGGTGACAGAATATCTTCTTTCTTTCTTTCTTTCTTTCCAAAACGTTTAATTGGTCAAATATATGAGAAATGTTCCAAGAGATATAGAAAATCTTCATATGTTTTATGTTTTTAATATCAATTTTACAGTTTCTACAAACCAAAAGACGAATCATCCAACCTCCCAACGTTTTACGGTCTCATGCTTGAAAAGCTGGACGGAAAGCACCAGAAAGGTACTATACTGTTAAGTTATATTTTATATTTAATAGCTACAAGTACCTTTAAAAAGCGGATTTTCCCCACTTTCGCTTTGCAGCTCACTGGATTTTACTAGTTTGAAAGCTATCAGTATGTAAGCGTCACAATAACCTTGTTTATCCTTTAAGAGATTAAGTGCCAGAAATGTACTTTACTGTTAAGAGGGCATTCTTTTCCACAAACTTGGCTTTTTATTTGACCCTGTATATTCTCTTAAAATGTAGCCATAAGACATACAAACTGTCTGATCAATAAGTAATCAATAAATAATAAGTATACGTGGTCAAGACCTGCCAATATAACAGTCATGTACAAATAAAACTAACTGCACGAATATTTATTATCCACAATTTTAGACTGTTGTGTAAAACGTTAATTTTTGTCTGCTCCAATCCCTTGTAGTCTGGGATACTTCAATCCTTCGTTAAAGACAACAACAACAAAAACAATATTAAAGTGGAGTGACATTTGGTCAGCTTTTGTTTTTGTCAAACTCAATTGAGACTTAACAGTTTTTCCTTAAGTAAATGGCAAGGTAATAGAAATGGCAACCGGAATGATTGAAAAGAGCAGTGACCAAAACTGATTTTGTGAGGTTGCAATAAGAACGAAAAAGGCAAACTGTGCGACTAAAAAGTATTTATAAAACCATTGCCAAAAATAAAGCAATGATTGCAATGATTTGTTGTAAAGCAAATGACTCACACTGTCACTAATCGCAGATAATAATTAAAACGGAATCAAACACGTAAAAGGATAGTGAGTTATTGAATGTAAGTTAAATTTCTTTAAGATTCATCGAGTGTAGAAATTGTTTTTTTTTAATTGTAGGAAAAGATGGAACATGTCAAAGACATAGATAGTTCGATTTGATTGGTTAATTTCTCAATATATTTGCAAGTTTCTAACACGTGTGAAACACATGCAAACTAAGAATGGATATGGTCCAAGCATGAGTAATTCAAAAAATATTTTAATGTTTTAAATTGAAAACAAGTCTTCTTGAAATTACCTAATAAGGAAATGTAATATATATGGTGGTTTGCAACACGAGAATGGAAAATTCCTTGTAATCACGCAAAAACAATGGAAAGAAAACAAGTAAACGCATGATCAGTATGGAAAAATAGAGCATAAGTTATTGTGAAATTTTATGAATAGTCGGTGAATAAACATTCGAAAGCTACAGACTGTTGTCTTTCTTTCACTATAGCAGATTGATAAAAGGATGGTTCAGTCAAACAAAGCCCTGATACCATATATAGCTCAAAATATATTACCAAAATTGAAGATTAAGTTCTATACAAGTTCTATACTGAGGTGGGATCGTGAGATGCAAGTTTTATTTTTTTAGTTCATTCAATGACCTAGAAGTATGAGGATTTCAAGTCTGTGAAAAACCTAGAACCGGTGTTTTAACCATAGGCCTATTGTTTACGATTTATTAAATACTGACTAAAATTGATTAAAATGTTTAACAGGAGAATGCTATGAGTTGGTCAAAGCAAGGAGTTATAACTCCTTGGTCAAAGGTAGGTCGCTAAAGAAAACAAACCGAGAAAATATGTTTTAATGCAATTGTGTTGTTCTGATATGCATACACAGTAGGCCTATGGTAATGTTTTTTAAGACTTAAGATAAGAAACATTGATTTCCATTCAATTAAATCAATATGAACGTTTAATTTTGCAGTCTAGTTGCATTTTAGATTTTCTTATTTTAGATTCCCACAGATTTTAGATCAATCTATCCCCGTGGGGAGTCTCACTAGATTGCTGTCAGATTAGCCGGCTTAACTTATGTCTGTCCCGACTACTTAAAGCTGTGAGGGGGTAATTAACTTTCGTGCGCACTCGGCTGACAGCAATTAAGCATGAACCCCAAGGGAGTTAGGTCGATCCAGATGGATCGATCTAAATCTGTGAGAACCTAGTCTTATTGTATATTCGTACATCAATTTTTAACCCATGGACTTTTCCCCTATTAATATTCACGTATGTTGTCTTATAGAAAAGATAAAACTTCTCCGATATCTTGATACAATTACATATATGTCATAGAATGATTCACATTTTATCAACATCATCTTTTTGTATTTTATTAATTTATTTTATTTATTTGCAATGCTCTCAAAGAGTTGTATTTAAAATGCCGCCGATGTCAACACAGAGTGTCATGGAGGAACAGCATAGTAAATTTGAGAGACCATGTGTCAATTGGATCTGGATTTCACGGGTGGGAAGACATTCATCTTTTCGAGGAAAGAGTTCATACGCAAGTTCACAGTTTCAAGGATCAAACAGGTAAGTGGTATGGAACGGGTCAGACATTGACATATCGACACGAACGGTCGTTTTCTTTTTCATTTAAAGAAAACCAGGGAAATAGGACAAAAAAAAAAAAAAAAAGAAATTGGCTTTTTTGTTTCAAATGAAAAAAGGGAAAATTGCGTCAAGTTTTTTATGGGTATATTTGCACGAAAACGAAAATGTAAATAAAGCATTTATGTATTTCTTGTCATCGCTTTAATCGATTTAATTCATTCAATATTTATGTGCTTTAAACTCAGGTATTGAAGAACATGCTGGATTTTAACTGTTTTTAATCCTTTACCTCTACCGAAAACTACACCTTCGCCGCATGATTATTCAGAATAAATAATGTAACTTCAAGTTTATTTTGTTGTATCACATTAACATTGGGCCTATGATACATTGGATAGGAAATACTCACATTTCCTTTAAACTTGTTTGACTTTCCAGTAAATGTTGCCCATTATTCACCTAAAATGTGTTTTAATGGCCCCGACTTGATTCAAATCATGCATGGCCCCGAGTCCTCTGTTACCTACGCTATCACTGCGGTCGCTAGAGAAGATACTGCCGCCTTATCGGATTCGTTTTAGAAGGATCATGTCCTTCGTTCAATGTTATAGCAGCTAGAACTAGTCTATAATGTGTCCCTCAATATTTTTTCAAACCATTTCCATTTTGGCGAGTATAATATCTGTTTAAAAATTTTGCTAAAAAATGTATGACTTATCCAAAAAAAAAAAAAAAAAAAAAATATATATATATATATATATATATATATATATATATATATATATATATTGCAGACCGCTAACCACAAAAATGTGCGAAATTTTCCTAAGTCGTCAGTAAGGCCGCATTCAGAACAGTGGACTTACTAGTCTGAAGGTCAAATATGGCGGCCCACTAAAAAGCTTGTCGTCTAATCCGCTTATAGACACGTGGGTAAGTATTCAAGCGGGTCGGGCATATTTGTCCCTCGAACTAGTTACTCCACTGTTCTGACAGCCCGGGAGCCACTGAGCTGCCACTACGGGGACTTTAGAGAAAGCGGAAGTCAAAATTTCGAGTATTTACAGGGTATCAAATAGGGTGAAATATCTCAGGTGCCCTGTGACGGCACAAATTGTCGCCGGGGCTGTCGGCACAAATTATCGCTGCCACAATTTGTCGCCGACACAAATAGTCGTCTTTCGGTGGCGACAAATTATGTAGGCATTAATGGCACAAATTGTCGCCGGCGCAAATTGTCGTCCTTAGGTGGCGACAAACTGTGTAGGCATTGTCGGCACAATGCCCTGCACAAATTGTCACCAGCTACGATAATGCATACAATAATTCTCAACAATAATGCATATACTTACTTTTATACAAATGTGGGTGCAATTTTATGATTGCCCTACTCTTCCATATTTTTTCCATCTAGTTGCTGATACTCTGACTTTCTTAATTTCGACCCTCCATATTCATTAAATCCACTCGAAAGGTGGCTACATGAAGTAAGTAATTACTTTGGGACATTTGGGATGTATAACAGTCAAAATATTTTACAATCGCAAAAATGGAATAGCATATTAATTTCTGAGCGAATTTTCCGTCCAGACCTTATGGACTAAACTGCTTCTGGTAGAGTTTAAAGTCCCTGAGGGTGACCTATTATCAACGATGTGGAAAAGTGTAGTGAAGTAGGTTGGCTACCCACTGAAAACATAGTTGTATATTATCGAAACAATTACCTGTAACAACACTATGTTGTCTATTTTTCCGGGCGATACGGATTAAAATACCTTATAACAATTAATTTACCTTTCTGAAATGAAGGCGAGTGTTTTTTCTTGTCTTTGCTGGAACACGCTGTAATTTCTACATTTTTTCAAAGTGGTATCATGTATCATTTGTGTTCATTGTAGATGATTACCACGTTTTCTTAACTGTTGAAGATGCTGACTGCCTCAAGAAAAATAAAGTAGGTTTGGGTAAATTCCTTAGAGAACCGTTTTATATTTAATTAACGACCGGGCATCCTTAATGTATGCTAAGATGTAATCTACTTAGATGTATGAAATATAGAAAAGTTACAACATGGATTAGACATATTTATAACCACGTTACTCCTAGGAAAAAGTATATCGGCATAAGATGTTGAACAACATTATCATCGGTATATGTATTTTTACAGGTAAAGAGTGATTGGTTTGTTGGTCTTACGGCAACTGAATGCAGATGCCCCCGGGACTGGTGCCAGCGGCTTGTTGGTTGGTATGTTTGTTCTTTTATATATTCTATATTAAGACAAATAATGGGACTCCGGGTATACTACAGCCTTCATAACATAACATAATGCCCTAGCCGTGAAACTGTTCATGTTATTGCCCTTATAAAACGTTGTAACGGCTTTATTTTTGATATCTTAAAATCGTATCCTAATGCCAGATAGGAGACATTTTGCATTCCAGGCGCTTCCAAAATGTTGACCGTCATTTCTACGGCTTACTTGTCAAGGAACTACATGGACCCCACCTGAAAGGTAAGGTGGAAACTACTTTTACTACCTCTTTACTAATACATAAATCTTCACCGTTTATTTACTCTCATCATGGGAATATTTATAACTATTATTTTGCTATTATTCTTATTATCTTTATTTTATAAATATGTTTTAAATAATATTTATTGTATTTAAAGAATAACACCAAGTTGAGAATATTAAGTTCATTATAATTAAGTACGTGACGAAATTCACATTATTCATTAATTTATGTATTTATTCCACAACAGGATGGTTGTGGTGTAAGTCCTGCACAAACTATTTATTCCAACTGGAAGATATCGTTCCCAAGGATCCAGTGTCATCCAAGATAGTCTACGAGGAGAGTGCAATTGTTGGTCGAGTGTTTGGAGTCCGTGTTCCACTCCTTAAGGATGAACACGGTTAGTGTTTAAAATGCGACATTAAATGTTATGTTACGATTGAAAACGAAAAGAAGAGTTTGGGTAATGCCAGAAATACTTCTCTCAACAGCTATGAAATAATTTTTTTAAATGCAAAACCATTTAGAAAAAGAGAAGATTTGAAGGTGATAGGTGGGTGGTGGGGGGTGGGGGGACTAAGAAAGTAGGCCCTGCCACCATGTATTGCTGGACAAAATTTTGGAAGTCGGGTCTCAGTCCCAGTAGAAAGCTAACTGCATGAGGTGAACATTGTGTTGTATTAATTTTGGAATCTCATCTTTGTTTTGAATGAACGGAAAAGGCCGCTGTGTTAGGCGTGACATCGTGTACATCGTGTTGGGTCCTCAAATAAAACGTGTTATTTTCAGGTACCCTAAGGAAGATTCTAACCGTAAAGGGAAGAAACTTGGTGGGAAACAGAGGGGACCCTTTAAAGGTAATTATAAGAAACCACATCGAAGCTAATTAATTCAAACAAACCAAAAATATAACATATCCATATGATAAAGACTTGACAAATAAAATGTGACGAGGTCAGAAAGGTACTCTTTTGCCCCCTCGGGTGGATAATCCTTGTTGCAAAATCATGAAAACGCAGCACTTATAGTACAGCTGCATTTTGCAAATAAGTTTTTTTTTTTGTAAGTCACTGAAACGGTTTAGTATAAGTGGAATGGTGTTGGAGATACATTGACACCGAATATTGTGGGACCAAGTGTGAATATTTATATTTATATTTATATTCACGCATTAGGTTTTTTAGTTCCATGTAAGGTGATAAATTAAATATGATATATATTTTAAAAGCAATGGTTATGTTTTACCGATAAAAATATATTTTCTTAATAGGCAGCGGATGGGTGGTTTAAGGATTATATAGAGTTTTGTCCAGTATACTGCTCAAACTGTCAAGAAACCATAGGGCGGTATGTACTGTTTGTCTATCACATATTGAGCGCTATTCGGGTTGTAGTCCGTGAATTTCAGCCATGGTCTGATGTATTCTTTAAAATGAAATGAAAGTGAAGGAATTGTGACAATCTTTTTAGTATCGACAACCAGCATGGTTATTACTTATTTCTTTTTTTATGTAGTTGGCTATCTTACAGTAAAAACATAACAAAACATCCTTCTCCACAGGGAATATAAGTCGACCAAGAAGGACGGCGACAAGTTTGCCGTTGTATTTTGGGAAAAAATTGGTGGACAGTTTACCATTCCTACAGGTACAAATACGAAAACCATTAAGATATAAATTCAGATGTGAAACAATGATAATATGTAAGTCAGAACTAAAATATACCGATTTGTGAGAGCGAAAGTGACAGCACCATTGCTTTGATTTCACTGATAGACCTGTTCCGACCTGTAGACAAATGAATTGAGAGAGAGAGAGTTGCTAAGATTGCAAAGCCCGCCTGCATGCCGATTCGGGTAATAGAACTGGTTGTGAAAGGGTGGATGTGCAGTATCGACAGGAAATTGCCAAAATTAAAGAAAAAAAATGGCAAAAAGTGAAAAATACTGCTAACATGTATCCTTTTTTTGTCTCCAGGTCTCCGCTCACCTCCTTATAGTCACGTCAGTGACAGGACGGCTATTGTTGTGGGAAACACTTACGAGAGCGACCCCGATACACGGAACAAACTCATGTGCTGTGCCAACGACGCCGACGCCATGGAACGGAACCTTAAAAGTCTTCGTCTTCCCTTCGAGGTGCGCAAATTGAATAACGCAACCAAAGATCAGATCATTTCAGCCTTAGAGAATATTCCGACAAAGGAAGATCAAGTTGTGCTGTTCTACTTCTCTGGGCATGGAAAAGCCGAGAAAGGGTTCCACTTCATAGTTCCCGACAGCGATGATAGACGGCACTGGGAGGAAGCAACCCCGACGAGTTCATACATAAATATTCGGCAAATTGAAACGCTGATGATGAAGACTGGGGCTAGGGTGAAGATTTCTATCATCGATGCCTGCAGAGGAACAGGTCAGTTCCATGACCGAGTTTCAGAAGATTTCAGGAAGGCCGTGGAGGACCTTTCGCTCGGTAATCTGGATGATGATGATGTTTTTGAAGACGCACCAGAATCTAGTCCAATACCGGAGATGTCGTCCAATGCATGTCCCCCATGCGCTGCTGGAAGCGTGAACCCCAGTGGTACACCAATAGCCGAGACCGGGGCACGTGGTACACAAGTGGAAGATGGTGACGACGAGGAAGAAAACAGTACTCAGAGTACTTTCGGAAGTCGCGCCGCAACTCCGAGCGTCGAGCCCAGCAGCGAACAGGACGGAAGAGACTTCCGTCGCTTAAATGAGTCCCACCAGGGGTATGGGTTTGTAAAGATGTATTCATGCGCGGACGATACCCTCTCTTCTGCCGGCGACCGCACATCCTTGAGTTATTTCACCAAACATCTGGTCAGCGAAATGACGAAAGAGCTTAGCATTTATAGGCTTTTTCAGCACGTGAACACCTTGATGAAAAGCGACGCAGGGCGCTTGAAGCAGGTACCACGTGTTCATTCAACACTTACCGAACCGTTCCGTTTTCAGACACGTGATCTGCCGGATTTTTCTCACTTGCCAGCCAACAGGGATTAAGTTATGATACCAATCATTCGTCAAGTTTGATTTAGATAATTAAAATCTTAATTTGCTGCTTTATTCAAATTTGAAGTAAGATAATATACCAATACAAATATAAGGTATCATTTTTGAAAAGATACAGAACAAATATAGTCGTTCCATATATTGCGCTTCATGCTAGCAATTTTAAATTTCAGGTTAATATATTTTGACTTGTTTTAAAGACAATAATACGAAATTTCAAACAATCATACGAATAGGTATTGTTTGACAAATACATAAATGTATTGCGACACATAAATGTATTGCATGTAAACGTGGATTTCAGTGACACAAATTAAACTTAAAGGTGCTATATGTTTACAATAATACACTATTACAAAGTTATTCAATCAGTATTTCCATTTTGCTGTTTACTAGCCATACGGTTATCATATTTGCATATATGTACTGTTTCTTTATCTCAATTATGTACATGTAGCAGACCATACGTAATTCCAGTGTGTCCGATTTTCAGTGTATGCTGACTTCTTAAAAATACCTTTATTTAATTATATTCATAATCACTGCATCATACATTTTTACACTAAAAATTATTATATATTATATTGACCAGCCTCAGCAATGTCTCAATCTGTTGATTTTGAAAAACTTAGTAATAAACATATCCACATCCGATAGCAACTTTATAATATCTCGTTATGTTTGTCCAGTTATGTGCAGATTTGGTTTCGGAGATAAAAAATGGAGCTTTCTCATTGGGATGTAAAAGTAAAAAATTAAATGACGGGAAACAAAGAAATGGAGGTTTGAAGTATAATGCAGAAAAAAGATCCCAGTCTCCAGAGGCAATTCGGCTTTTGAACTCTGAATAAGCGTAATTAAAACCATTTATCAAAGAGTGCGAGAGCAAGTAATGGCACCTGTATAGTATAAGGTTCTTTTCACTCTCCATCCCCACACTGCCTTGTTACTTTGAAAAGGTTCTGGGACTTTGAAATTCTACAAAATAATTTACCGTTTTAAATTCGAAGTACAAAATATGATTTGCAAAAACTAAACTTCATTTTTTAAGAGCACTTCATCCCCAACTTCTCCCCCACTCTCTCTCTCTCTTGGGAAAACATATCTAAGGCCCTTATGCACCAGGTAAAGTACATGTAGACAAGAATTTCTGGGCTTCGAATTTTTATCTCAATAACGTTTTCATTGCAACGTTCGCTGATGGGGTGAATTTCAATTAGATTAAAATAAGAAAGTTTTTGCAATGGTTATAAAAGTTTAATGTCCTGGGTAAGACGTTCAACTGCATCCCCGGGGCATCCTTTCAAGAGGAAGATGAAGCTCCCCGAAAGCTCCCTGTGCCAGGGTAACGGTGGAGCCATTGGCAACAGAATGTTGGTTTCAGCATGAGGATTGGGGCAACTACCCACTTGAATGTTTGTTGCGCAATCCCCGCCGGGAGTCTATTCAGTGTCTAATCAGAAATTAAGCGGCAAGCTTTTACTTGGTCGCTATATTTGATCCTCTGATCTGTTAGTCCGCTGTTCTGAATGCGACCTATGGCTCCTGCAGGTGCTTACCAGTATGTCTGGCAATTCGCACTCCTGTCTACTTCTCCAAATTATGCAGAAATTCCTTTTCCTTGTTAGTTGGAGTCTGCGAGCTGGAGAAAGGAAGAGGGGACCCCTACCCATTTTCTTTCACCTCCCTCCATTTAAATGGAGGCAGCCTTCATGACCTTAAAAAGACAAGTTAACACCCCATTTCCATAGATTTTTAGATCGCTCTATCCCTGTGGGGAGTCTCACTAGATTACTGTCAGCTTGGCCGGCTTAAGCGTCTGTCCCGCCTACTAAAAGCTGTAAGGGGGTAATTAACTATGGTGCCCGCTCGGCTGACTGCAATTTAGCGTGAACCCCCAGGGAGTTAGGTCGATCTAAAACATAATCTTTAGATCGATCTAAATCTCTGGGAAAGCAC